GTATATATATATATATATATATATATATATATACATACATATTGTTAATTATACAGTGTTAATTTCAAAATTATTTACAGAACAAACTTAAAACCTTATTTTTTTATATTTTTTATATATAAAATTTTTATATAAATATTAAAGTGATTTTTCGTGATTTCATAGAAATTATTTGCTTTTTATATAAGAGTGGCGTTTATTTTTTAATTACACGCATTTCCATTTGTCATTACAATGCATTTATATTTACAAAATGTATGTAATATTATTTGAAATTTAAAAATTTTTTGAAAATGATAAAGATATAAATGAAAATTAAAATCTTTTTAAATTTAATCTTTTTATTACTTTAAAAATATTTTATTAGAACAGAATTTCTTGGTTAAATATTCATAAATATTATCATAATATATTATATATACATACATCATTTGATTGATATTAATTATTTATATTATATTTTATAATTTGTTTTCAACGATATAAATAATTTTATCATTGTGTGATTCTTGGTAAAAAAGTTGTTTTTAAAATATTTTGATAGAAAAAATAAGTACAAATATTCTTTTTAATAAATATTAGCTTTTCATATAATAAAATATTAAGAATAAAAATGAAATGTTATAAAAATTACATATTTAGAAATAATGAGTGTAAACTTATATGTTTGTATTCTATATGTGAATAATAATTTGTAATTTATATTATATAATATATAATAAGACTACTATTAACTATTATTCAAGGATATTTTTTTGGAAATAGAATATTATAAATACAAAAATATATATATATATATATAAGAATTTATTAAAATATATTTGTAAATGCATAAAAATTAAATTAGTATTAATATAAATAATATAAATAATTTATTAATTTAATAATTAATAAGGAATGCTCAATTTTATATGAAAACATGAAAAATCATTTCATTTTAAATTGTTAATCATTATAATTTTTTAATATAAATTAGTAATATATATATTTAGTTTCTTTATATACATGCAAATTAAAATAAACAATAAGAAATTAATTTAAATATAACTACAATTGTAATGTATGATATGCATTAAATTTAAATTTTATTCATTTTAAGTAAATATCAAGATGTAAAAGGTAAGATCATTTTATAATAAATATTAATTATTTATAATTATAAAAGAAATTTTTCACTTCTGAAATCAAAATATTTTTAACCTCTTCTTTCGTATGGCATTCATCTGCCACGTATACTATGTTAAACTCGATAGATCATTTGTTTTTATTCAAATAACAATTAAAACAGACGATTGCCTTGTGCATTCATTCGACGATAATTAAAATCGATTATATCGAAGAGATTAAAAATAAAATTAATTTCGTATTAAACGATTCTTTACAAAAATGGTGAACGAATAATAGATCGATTTTGGTATTTCGAAATCTAATTATTGCTGATAAATATTATATAATAATATTTTTTATTATTACTAATAATGTATGTAATATTTGACTACATTATATAATTTATTAAATTTATCGATATAGATAATCAGCATGAATATTGCTAGCAATTTCTGATTCCCATTTATCTCCATTATTTAATAGTTTTTCTTTATTATATAATAACTCTTCATGTGTCTCTGTGGAAAATTCGAAGTTGGGACCCTAAAATAATCCATAAAATAAATATTTAAAATTATATGAAATTTTTCTTGAATTAAATTTAAATATGAAGTTAGAAATGATAATAATATTAATTTTAATAATACCATTTTTCCATAAATGATCTATCGATAAAGAAGCTAATATCATTATTTTATCACAATAATTATATGTAGAAATAGCTGTTTTATGTATTTAACTGTAATCTTTATAAATATTACAAATCATATACAAATATGAGATTATCATTGAAATATTTAGATAATATTATGTTTACCATAAAATTATTTTGTAATTGTGAATATTTATTATTACCTCTACGATTGCATCTACTGGACAAGCTTCTTGACAAAATCCACAATATATACATTTTGTCATGTCTATGTCATATCTTGTTGTACGACGAGATCCATCAGCTCTCTCTTCTGCTTCAATAGTAATTGCTTGTGCTGGACAAATAGCTTCACATAATTTACATGCAATACATCTTTCTTCTCCTGAAGGATATCTATCAAAATAAATTGATTATGCTTTATTATTTATTATGTATATTATTTTGCATATAGAATGCTTTGCTTTGAAAATCATAATTTTAAAATATCAAGAATACATAATATAATTCAAACATAAATATAATTCTAAATAAAACAATATTAATGTATTAAAATTTAATAATTATTAACTTTAATTAATTTATCAATTTTTAATTCTTCTCATTATATACATATACATAACTAATATCATAATTTATATTATATCAAATATTAAAAATTTTATTCAAATTTATAAATATTTTAACAAGTCATTTAGTTTTAAAAGAGAATAATAATATTCATTAATTTTTTCAAAAAAGATTTAATATTTGTAACCTAATAATATTAATTTATATAATTTTCAATACCTTCTTAATGCATGTTCACCTCTAAATCTTGGACTCAAAGGACCTTTTTCAAAAGGATAGTTTATTGTTGCAGGTTCAGTAAAGAAATGTGACATTGTAATTCCTAAACCTCGTATGATTTCTAAGAAAAATGATTTATTTGTTGCATTATCAAGAAATTTTTCTGTATCTTCCTCTGTGTAAACAGTGTAATATTTAGTTCGACGTAAAGGTACATTTAAAATTTTTGGATATGTTTGAAATAATTTCAAACCTGTAATAATATCTTAATAAAGTTATATACATAAGTAAAATAAAATATTTTATAGCTTATATTATGTATATTACATTATATATATATTATTTTATATAAAAAATTAATTAATATGTAATAAAAAATATAATAATTTTTAGATTTACCTGGTTGTACAGTTTTTAAAAATGTCATATTAAAATTTTAAAAATAATCTTATTTAGCGCAATCAGTTTTCACAACGTACCTATATTTCACATTCATCAATTAAGACTGAAAATAAATCAAGCCGAGAATAAAATTGTCAACAGAATTACTAGATACTAGGACAAAATGGTTACCAATGACATCACAGAGAAAGAAACAGGAGAACCGCAGAGTGCATCATATAGTATCATTTCATTAGTGTAAGGATAATAACCAATAGTATCGTGTTGTTATTTTCATTCTTTCATCCAATGTGACATTGTTCATTACTTTTAGTTTTCTTACTCTAATGTCAATTGACAATCATTTTGTCGATATCTGACTATAATTAGATAATTATTTCACATTTATAATTTTTTATTCAATTTATATTCAATAATTATTTCACATATAGTTATTAGTCCAATATAGGGACTTTATTCGTATACTGACATCTATATTAAATGAATGGAAATAAACAAATCAAATTGCGTGATATACGATACATGATACAATAAATCATTTCAGTTGATCTATAGTGATAAAAAAATGTTGATAAAAAATTAAAAAATAATAAAAATGGCAGAATTAGTAGCAAATTTAAAAGTGGTGAAAGATAAAATTATTGTTGCTTCTGCTAAAAGATCACTAGTATGTATTATTAAATATTTTATAAATTTATATATTATAATTAATTTAAAAATATATAAATTAATAATAATTTTTAATATTTTACTAACAGGAATATAAATATTTTGAACCACGTTTGGTAGCTGTGAGTAAATTAAAACCGGTTGAATTAATTGTCGATGCTTATAATGCTGGACAAAGACATTTTGGAGAAAATTATGTTAATGAATTATTAGAAAAAGGAAATGATCCAATTATTTTGGATACATGTAAAAATATACATTGGCATTTTATTGGCCATCTTCAACGTAATAAAGTAAATAAATTATTAAGTGTTCCCAATTTATATGTAATTGAAACAATAGATAATGAAAAACTTGCATCAGCAGTAAATACTTCTTGGATTAATTATAGGAAGGATGAAAATTTAAAATTAAAAGTGATGGTACAGGTTAATACTAGTAAAGAGCAAGGTAATATATATTATGATTTTAATGATTTGTTCAGATTGTATTTTATTTGAAAAATAAGAAATATTAAGAACAAAAAATTACAAATATTATGATTAAAAATATTATGAAAGAAAAGTTATATCAAAAGTTTATATAAATTTTGTTTCATTTTTAAATAAATAAATTAGTAAGTTATAATTATCAAAATCATTCTAATTTTAAATATGAAATAATTTTAAATAATTATTTTGTAATAGAATAATTAATTATATAAAATTAAATATATAAAAATTATATATTTATATTTTCAGAAAAGAATGGTTGTGAAATTACAAATGTTTGTTCTCTTGTTCAGCATATTATTGTTAATTGTAAGAATTTAGAATTTATAGGTCTTATGACAATAGGCATGTTTGGATATGATTACAGTAAAGAACCAAATCCTGATTTCTTATGTTTGAAAGAATGCAGAGAAAATGTTTCAAAACAATTAGATATTGATTTAAAACGAATTGAATTATCAATGGGAATGTCAAATGATTATGAACATGCGGTAATTTCAATTAGAATATATATATATATTTTTTTTAAAAATATAATAAAATATAAATGAAAAAAATATTATATAGGTTGAATTAGGAAGTACCAATGTTAGAGTTGGTACTGCCATATTTGGAGAAAGACCAAAAAAGAATATTTAATGAAATATATTTTCATTGTATGTTACAATGAGATGCAAAAATATACATAAAGTATGTTTTAAATCAATAAAAAGCTTTCTATATTGATAAAGAATGAGGAAAGACAAATATGTACTGCTATATTCATCTAGTTTCCAACCATGAAACTGCGTAATCGCTCATACGATTTGTATATTTATTTGTCAGGAAATTATCAAGAAATCAAAATTCTTATCTTAAAATTGACAAAAAAAAAAACCTGCGTTTGATTGCAATCGTTATTATTATCACGACTTTCTACATGAAAATCTTAATATTTTCGATGATGCTAAATTCAAATACAATTCTAATATAATATCTAGTGCTAAACTATTCAAGAATTATCCGCAGACGAGGTATAGAATAGATTTAACATTTAATAATACTTTGTGTATAAAATATTTTAAAAATAATTTCTTTAATATATTTTTTCATAAATTTTTTTAATAATTATTCGATATAGGGAGATCCTTATTTTGTTAATTTTTATTAATACGTTATAAATAATTTGGACATGTTAGAAATCAATATTTTAAACAACTTCTTTCCTTGCGTGTTAACGCCGCTTGGCCTTAGTTTTCTAGATATTTGCAAGAAACTTGATATTGCATTAA